CCCTTTTCATCCCCTGAAAGTGCCTAAAAACCTCAAATTTCGCGCGCATTTCTTGTTAACATGGCCCAATTTCCTCTAAAAATTGCACATTTTAGGGAGTTTTCATCAATTCCAACGAAATTAGAATTAAAAACACTGGGGGACAAGGGGAAAATATTCATCTTTGGAAAATCTTTCTCCACCCCTTGACAAATGCATCCTCTGAAAGTGCCTAAAATTCTCAAATTCTTTGCGTGAATTTCTTGTTACGGTAGGGCAATTTCCTCTATAAATTGCACATTTTAGGGAGTTTTCATCAATTCCGACGAAATTAGAATTGAAAACACAAAAATATTTTGGGGCTTTTTTAGTTTTATCCTTTTAAGTTATTTAAACACATAATAGTCCCAAACTCAGGAAAGACAAATTTAAGATAGATCATTTTAACCTAAAAGAAGGGCCTCAATGTGTATAGATGGTGAAAGAATATGTTTGTAAAATAAAACCATGATGGTAATGCTTATATTTAGTTTCAAACACACGTGTGTGGCCTATATTATAAATAAGATAAGCCCTATGTCGTATTGTTTTCTATATGGGGAGTGGGGTGGGGTGGGTATGATAAATTACTAATGAGGATTTTATGTCATTATTATTATTATTATTATTATTATTATTATTATTATTATTATTATTATTATTATTATTATTATTATTATGTTGTAATGATGTTGTTTGTACAACCCAGTCCTAGAAGGGTTACCCTCTTTAAAGATGGTTGAAATAAAAAATTAAAAAAATAAATACCCACTCTGACCCAAGACCCCTGTTACGCGCCTGGTGTTAGCGCCAATGTGTGCCCTTGTGCGAACAGGAGATATGCCCCCCTCTGAAGCTGGAAACCTTGTTTTTGCAAAATAAATTGATGCAATTTGTTATATAGGCCTAATCAATAAATTCCTCATCAACCGATATAACCTTAAACATTCTTGGAATTGACATAACATTACTGATGTACACACCTTTCAGTGTGAAATGTGGCTCTCTTTGCAAGCACA